ACCTCTACACAGGAGGAAACATTTCCCAATCATGGAGGCAACAGACCCGAGCCAAGCATTAACCATAATGTTTGCATTTACAGTGACATAACATGGATTTTAATCTCCTGTGGTCGTGACTTTGACAAAATTCTGCACATAGAAACACTGTGCAGACACCTGTTTTGACTTTATCTACAGCTTTAGAAGATGACTAAGGCAAAATGCTTCACATGTCACATGCATCATATACTTGAAGCCACTGTGGTTGTTGTTTTATTTCATAAACTGAGTTGACAATGAGAAATAAAGGTGACAGACTTCGCTGCAGTGTCGCTGAAGCTCCTCTTGTGGTGTGTCCTGCAGTCATCAGCTGTCCGCCCACACGACACAGCTAGAGCCTGCATGGCACCTGAAATCCAGATTAAAGAGGAAAATGATCACTTGACTGCCACAGAGAGATCTACAAGAAATATTACTGCAACCATTTATATGACATATAGCACCTGCAATGATATGCGCAAAGCATTACACATCACTTCTTTGTTTCAGTTTGGTATCAGTGTCATGAACACACAGTTCCTCGTGTTCTGGCCCGTTGAGAATGTTCTGTGAATCAATCAAAACTGACAAATCCTTCTGTCCTCAGTCAGACACAAAAATCCAATATGGATATAGATTCACAAATGTCAGTGTTTTTGTTTAATGAAGCAAGAAGTCAGTCATTAAAAAGGGATTGTATTACATTGGCATGATGTACTTGCTGTATTACTGGGCCGATTGAGTAGGGCTGTATTAGAATATATATAAATGTAATGTATTAGAGTGACTTCAGTGTCAAGTTTTCTCATCTCCTACAATCAACCATAAAACTTAAAAGTCTACAGCCATTGTTGTCGATGGGAGGCCGCACTTTGAGCAAAATATCATCACGCTAATATGTTCACAGTGGTAATGCTAACGTACTTATGTTTAATGGGTATAAGCATAGACTGCAGGTATAAAGATTTACGAAGCGTCTCCACTTCATCCCACCATCCAGGAATCAAGCTAAATATCCTGGATATGAACACTCGGACATACTTCAGTGTGATGACAACAAACTGAAATGACAGAAACCATCTCTAATCAAACATATGTTTGACATTTATTTTTGGTTTGGTCCGTGTTCCATCCAATAACATGGAGGAGGGATCTATTACTTATACTGCAGCTTCCTCACCAGGTGGGAATAAAGATGATTTAAATTCAGTAACATCACTTCTACTTCATGGAAATAGCTCATAATAGATTCTATATTGAATTGCCAAATTCAATCTTTGACCTGATGGTGGCACTAGATGAAACATCAGGGTGTCACCAAAGTTGCAACAATTCACCCCGAGGGGAACATTTGAACCAAATTATATAGCAATGCCAACTAAAAATGTCAAGAGCTTTCCAGTTTCCAAACTCCTTCCAACTACAAACATTAGCCTCATAGTGGCGCTATAGGAAAAGTTCACCAAACCTCCAGGTATTCATCATCTATGAACCATAAATGTCTGTATTAAAATGTGAGTCATTTCATTTTAAAGCTTTTACATATCTTTCCCTGCTACGTGACAATTCTGACCTAGTGGAGGCATCAGATGAAACGTCAGAGGATTACAGAAGTCGGTGCAATCATTGTTGAATTGTTTCCGTCTGGACCAAAGTAGCGGACCGATTGACCCACTCTGCCGTCCTCTGAGCCGTGCCTCTAGCATGACTATTAATATCAACACAGAGAAACCCCTTGCTGAACCAAGCCCACATTCCACCCACCTACCACCTACCATCGAATGTTAAATATATGAGCACACATACAAGCAAAACACAAAACCACAAAGCAACACTATCATTACTTTTTCCCACGTGTGGCTCGACAGGCTCTAAATATTAGAATTATGTTTGTGTCTGTGAGATTATTTTCAAAATGGAAAAGCCATGTCGCTCAGCAGCAGCTGTGCACCACTCACATGCCACATGTGACCATTTCTGAAACGTGGTGATATTGCATGATGTTCAACAGGGATAATCGTTCTGCCTTTTATTGGGCTCCAGTTCTGGAAATTCTGCAATTTCTGTGATAAAGACAGACCTAATTATCTCGGCAGACAGAACTCCATCTGAGCTGGGCTCTAATTATGGCCTAAATGCTGCTCTCTTACCGTTCAGCGTCGCACTGAGGGGTCATAAGGGAGTGACTGCTGCTGTCCTCTTCCACAGACTTATAGACACATGCACACACACACATCTCGAGGGCTCAGTGTGCTCAGCTGCTCTGATGCTCTTCTTAACAGTCTACTGGCAGGGATTACCCAACAAGACGGCGCACTCAGCCCCCCTCGGACCATCTCGCAGATCATCTGATTAATTAATCACAACTCCAGATGTCTCTTGAGCCGCATTATTGTTTGTACTGTGTAGAACATTGCACCAATATTTAAAAGGGAAATCCAACTGAAATCCTTAAATCCACAACTTCAGCTAAAAACAGACGAGACAACAACACAATGCGTGAGGTTATGTGGTACTTCCAGATAGATAAATCCATCAGTAGCGTCCTTCCGAGCCCATTCACTTTGATTCAGGAATGTGAAATAATTGCAGATTTATCTGGTTTTGAAGATTGTTCCAAGGTCAGATAAATTAAATTCAGACTGAGGGAGAGGAAGCAGCTTGCACAGTGAACTTGATTGTAGATATTGAACATCCAAGTGAGGAGATGGGACGGAGAAGCGTGAAAGATTTGGTGTCCAAATACGTAGCAGTGATGCAACCCTGGTGTCAGCTTAGCACAGATAGGAATGTGTAAGGAAATTGGAAGGAACAAAAATAATAGAAGGGCAAAGTTACTCTATTATCATCAGTAACAGGCATTGTGAAAATGTCATCATGCACGTGCAAATATGTCTGCACAGTCAGTCATGTCAGGGGACAAAGGTGGCTTCTCTGATAAGTTTCTTCCAGAAAAATAAGGACAAAAGGAGAAATTGTATGTAGGAGTTAAATGCACTCCACATCTGTGCACATTTGCAATACTGGTGCATTTGAAAGCAGCCTATAAAAAAAAACACCACTTGTTTAATTCCACTAAAACAAAAGAAAATCTGCATCCAGGTTAGATTTATAAAGATTATTCTTTGTAGAAGCTTGGGATAGATTTGAAACTCTGCATCTGAAAATTGAGTGGAGAGAGAAACAGTGCAGCGTACTGCACAGTGATTCATACACGCAGGGAGAAACAACAGAAAAATGAATGATTTCAGGGCTTACATCCCCCTGAGAGCAACATATGGCCTTAAACTAAAATGATGCTGCTTGCAGTCAAGGTCAGTGAGCGTACTAACGATCACTCAAGACTCGTTCTATGCCAACAAGTTCTTTAGAAGCAAAGGAGCGTATTATTGATGCTGCCGGCACATCTAATAAGAATATGCATTTACTTTATTGTGACTGCCAGTGAAAATAGCAGTGTATTTCTGGATTATTCACAACCTGTGGACATTTATCCTCTAACGCAGAGTGTTTGGATCTGCCAGAAAGCTCAAATCACAACAATGCACTCTTGTGTAGCTTCAGGGCTCGGCAGCGATCTGAATTCTGCCAACACAAGAGTCTATATTTGTCTACGTGACAGTCCAATTTTCCACAAAGCAGCAAGGGAAAGTGAGAATCAAAATTTGAAAAAAGGGAGCAAAAAAAGACTATACCTCCCACAACAGCTTTAATTATTCATTTCAGGGGAATTGTTACCAAATGATATTTTTGTATGTGTTCTGTCAATTTCATGGTCAGTCGTTCACGGGCCAGATTATTGCTGTGCATAAACAGAGGGATGACAATATCTGGCAGAGATAACTCACTGTACACAAACAATCCAGGCTTCGTAAAAGTTTATTTTTTGCTGATTCAATGGGAAAAGCCACTAATTCTAGAAAAATTGGTATATACAAACAATTGAGGCTACTTCTTCCATATAGTTGATTTACTTTAGAAAATAAACCAAAATGTGTACCAATTAATATTATTGGATATCAAAGAAGTGTATTAATGAAAAGATAAACAGCTGATTTTGTATAATGATATAATGGTATATGATTTTCATCTTGTGGACTAGTGTCTGAATACTCACAGTTTCTCTCTAAATAAATGTCCATGCACACGTAGTGAATAAAACTCAATCATGTGTGAAATATCAGACTGAATCTCTGTGGCTAAACCAACCTTGGCAGGAAGACAGTGTCTGTGTTTGTGTCTGTGTGTGTGTGTGTGTGTGTGTGTGTGTGTGTGTGTGTGTGTGTGTAGTCGTTCTTGTTACCTCTTTAGGACCTTTTCCAGCATAAACACTGAGCGTGTCAGGACCAGTAGACCTCATGGGAACCACTAGCCTGGTCCTATTGAGGCAAATCATCGTGTCTGAGCTCCTGGTTAAGGTCAGGGGTCAGATTGTGGTTAGGTTAAGGTCAGGTTTAAGCATGGATTGGTCATTGTTGGGGTTAAGGATAAGGTGTTGGTCACTTTACGTTTTGTGTGAAATATCTGATTGAATCTCTGTGGCTAAAAACTGTCTTTGCGGCAAGACTGTGTGTGTTTGGGGGTGGCCTGCTGTTCCATGAAGTCGTATCATAAATCTGCAGGCTGGACAGAAACTTAATCCTGTGAGAACACGGTGTGATTATGAAGCTGAGGAAATGAACATCCACAGTGAGATGACACCAGAGTGACATCTGCTGCTCACCCTGACCGACTGGTCATCTCATAACACCCGACTGCGCCCTCCTGTGGCCGATGTGGAGCCGTGCAAATCACCACTGGGTAAATAAATCCAGTCGGTGCGTCAGTGAAATATATTTGATCAATTCTTATTCATATGATCCATTTAAAGTAATTTAAATTAAATCGCATGGAGAACATTTAAAATGTAACATTGGATAAACACTGAAGTTAGTTTTCTATTTCCGGTGTCGCACTACGTTGTGCGCATGCGTATTGGAAACACGGAAGTCCCATGATTGTAGCTCAGCAGTCGCTGTGATCTCCTCATAAATAGTATTTTAGTCAAAAAGCAGCGGTCCTGGTGTCATATCTGACTGACTCCGACACCGACAGCTTTACTGGACGGTGTAATGGCCGCAGGGTCGTTAGTGCATCTGTAGCGGAGCTGCTTCACATAGAAAAGCTGTAACAAGATAAAGATGCCCGCTCGTAGCGTCGTGTCCAACGGGACTCCCAGCAACAAAGTCAGGTACTCCAGGTTAGCCTCCGATGATGACGGCTACATTGACTTACAGGTAAGACCCGCTGCGTGGTGCTGCTCACAATGTGTCATCACAATCTGTGTTCATGACACAGGACCAACGCAGTCAGTGTTTCCAGAATCATAATATCATTTATAATCTGACATGATTCTGTTTTTAATGTGCAAGGATTGGCTCATTGTCATGATTGACTGAAGGTCGTAGTTCATCCACTTCAGCATCATCATCATAAGTGAAGTTTAAAACAGCTAATCTAGGCTTAAAATGATGAATAATTAACTCCAGAGTGACTTCAGGGATTTTGTATTGCATAAGATCGGAGGACTTGAATTTGATACAGAGAAACATCTTGTTTATAATCTGTCTGAAAAGCAAAGATCTCAATGTGCCCAGCTGAGATTAGGAGTCTTACCTTTGACTGTGGAAACTGGATGATTTCATGAATTCAGAGGACGAGAAGCACATTTGTCCCATGTGTTGATCTATTTTGTTTTCTGCTGTTGCTTTTATTGTGAACCCTGACATCCTCTGTTCCATGAGATAAAGTAGAGAATGATGGATGATCTACAAAGTCTACATTGGCTGTTCTTATATGAAATTCAATTCATAAGTAAATAAATAAGTTATCTGGAAGAGAGGGTTAGTTATGTGGAGAAAGTCTGAAAGAGTAGGAAAAAAAACTCAAAGTCAATTTATAAATATGTAACAGCTGTACATGTAATTAGTTAATTAAAATATTTATATATATACACATATTGAACCTTTATTATATTACTAGTGATGTAATTTGTATTGTGATAATTATTAATATTGTTTTATTGCCCAGCCTTAGCCACGACAGAGCCTACCTTTCCCACAACCTCCAATGGGTCTTTAAAATTGGTTATTTTCCAAGTCCCCAGTTTCTAACACAGGTTACTTTGTTATAAATGTGTAGTCTCCAGGCGCAAGGTGATATTTTTCTGCTCATTCTTCAAAAAGCTACAGACAACGTTATTAGTGTTTTCATGTGGCAATAATAACTCAGGATGACTAATAAACAACCTGAGCCTGAAGGTTTGAATGTGAAAACATTCTATTTGCTTAAATAACATGACAATGACATGAATAATTTAAGTTGTAGTTTGGGCAGTGTATTGATTTGTAGAAAATTGATCTGTCACGTAAACACATTCTGTAAGGAGAATTCAAATAGCTGCCTGTACACAACAGTGGGTCTTTGTGATTCAAGCTTTCTGGCAGAGCTGTTCACACTACAGTCCAGGATAATTCTCCACAGGTAATAAATGATATAATATAATAATATGTGTAAGTACACTGCTCCTTTCATGAGCAGTAACAATAAGGTAAATGTGATGTGTATATGTGTTTGCTCCATCAGAGACAATGTAAAACAATATTGAGATGGTTGTTGGTACTTAAAATCACAAATATATAATCTTATGGATATTTAAACAATTAAAACAAATGAAAGAGGGAAATGAGAATTGTAACATGACAGATTCACTACTGTTGAAGTCAGTTCCATTTTTAATAGCAAATATCTGACAACCAGACATGTACTTGGACTTCTCTCAGAAGCTCCAGAGCATCATGAGAGTGACTAAATTTGCCTTTCTACAGTATAAGTGGGGAAACAGGCAGCGCTCCACAAAGCCTGCTGTGTCTGAGAAATGTGCTCCAATTAAATATTTCTCCTCCTCTCCAGTTCAAAAGGAGCCCACCCAAAGTCCCGTACAAAGCCATCGCTCTCGCCACAGTCCTCTTCTTAATTGGCTCTCTGTTAATCATCATTGGTGCCCTTCTCCTGGCTGGATACTTTGGAGTCACTGTGAGTATGTTTCCACAATGAAGTATTAATTTTGGCCACGATGAAGAGAACAAATTCTGAGATTTCGAGAATAGCATCATGATATTCTGAGAATAAAGTTGTACTTGAGAAAAAAGTCATTTTTTATTATTTTCCAGAACCAGTGTTTTCTGGAGGTCCACTTCGTCTGGTTCAAAAATCTTTATACATTCTCATTATTTCTTGAGAAACTATGAAACCCCTTTGAATACAACACACATATATGATAACCCTGCAGTGGGCTACTACCAAACATGTCTTCCTCCTTTAAAGAGGAAACTTCCTCCGTGTCTGTGTGGTTTCTTCTTCAGAATAGATTCTGTTTCTTGCACAGTTTCTTGTTTATTTTGAATGTCCTAATACTTATGATCATGTGGTGCTGATGAGTATTTCATTGTTTATGATGTTAATGATTTACACGATGCTCCATATTCCTCATTTTAACACATGCAGGCTGATCTTCGGGTATTCCCCCTCTAAATTGACACATAGCCTAAAATTACAACTTTATTCTCAAGACCTCTTCACTTTTTTCTTTTAAGGAGCCCTAATACTCTGTTTTATTTCTAACAGCGGAACAAATACGATTTTTATTTTCATTAAATAAATGTGTCAAATCTTTTCTCTCTTTCAGCACACAGACCGGACTGTGCCTGTCCTCATCATTGGGATCCTGGTTTTCCTGCCTGGGATTTACCACCTCCGGATAGCTTACTATGCGTCAAAGGGCTACCCAGGCTACTCCTATGATGATATCCCAGACTTTGATGACTGACGTATACACTGTAGCTTCAGAGAGTCTCACTGTGCTTACATGCACACATACTCAGTAGGGCTTGTGCAGGACTCTGAGTAGTGATACTTCTTACAGTCTATTCATTGCTTTAAACAACTATGCTAATCTGATAATGCCAGTCTGCTGTTATGAAGCCATATCAGTATCAGATTTTGCTTGAATTGTATATTTGTTTTCTTAGCTTGATTCATTATTAAAACTGTGATTTGATGAGTCCTTTAATGATGATTTAATTTACACATAATTGAATTAAAAGCTAATTCAGGTTTGTCCACAAAATGATCAGCACATTGTAGAACACAATTAGCCTTACCCTCCGGTTAATTCTTCCTTCCTCTGTAGACTTGTGCTTTCTAGGGAGGATTTCAAGTGATTAATGCCGATCCTTCGATCTCCATATGGTGCACCTGTCCTGTGAGAATAAACATTGTGAAACAGTGAAGCACAGGAAGCAACACATGCAATTAAGACCTGCTTTTTCTCTTTAAATCATTTGAAAGTGTGTGAGTGAATAGCACGTTGTCAGTAATGATTACACTTGGACAGTACAGTCTTGTCAGGTTTATTCTTTTTTTGCTGCTAACTTCACAAAAGGAATCAGCCACTAATCATAAACTATCTGTTGTTGGATCAGATCAAACAGCTTAGAAGCTTTTCTGGGCGCTGACTACCGTCTCACACTTGCAAAAATCACAGAAAAGATGGAGATTGGCTGTACACTTCCTGGTATCTATACATTTATACCTCTGTAATTTGTGCTTTCTATGGACCTTTGATTTTTAACTTTGTATTATATATCACTGTACATTAAAGCACAGCTATGCAATAATTGCTGTTAAGAAATCATTTTATATGACAATGTTGAGCAGACATAATAAATGACAATGAATAGTATTCCAGGTGTATTATATTCATTGAATGGTTTATGTCCATAGTTGGGATGATGTTTTTTCTGATCGTGTTGTATCACAACAAGCCTTTTAGGAAAAATCATTGTGAACTGTAGTGTAGAGTTTTATTTTCTCCACTGCCCAGTAATACACTTTGCTCTGTCATGATTAACCCATCTTACTAATTGTCACTGTCATGAACCTGATCAGTGTCTGCTGATCCAGGACTAATACCGCCCCCCTGTGGTGATCCAGACGGCCAGGCAGTGGATTGGCTGTTTCAACTGTAAACAGAACTGTGTAATGTGTCCCAGGCCCAGCTATAGACTGTATATAATGTGTCCCAGCTATAGACAGTATATAAAATGTCTTC